AATATGCACGCAGCAGTGCCACAACGGCGCTCCGCCGCAATCTAATCACTAGAAAAAAAAAAAAAAAAAAACTTTCTTCACTGCTGGTCACAATCGTGAAGCGCCGAATAAGGAATCCTTCCTTGCTAGCCTTAACGAAATTGGCACAATATACAGTAAGTTCGACGCAATGAAGACGGACTGCAGTGAAGTTATATGTTAAGCCTGTGAAGCCCCCTCGATGTATGTTTTCTTTCATCTTCCATTTCCTATAGTGCACCGTGGCGCTGCTAGTCACTAATCGATGGCTCTCCGCCTCGCTATGACTCCCCACATGCAGCTCCGCATGCCGAATCACTGAGTGACTTTAGCAAGCGCGATCGTCACACCTCCCCCTTCAAAACCCACGATTCCAGCGGCGTGATGCTGGACCGCGGAAGCGGGTTCGTCATCGCGACGCTTCCTAATCTCTGGGAGTGAGTGTCAAAGGCCAGTCACACTGAAATCGGAAACAACGTTTAGTCTGACAGCGACACCAGGCGGCCGCCGCCAAAGTCGGAGACGTGTGACGTTCGAATTGTCAGCCACAAGGGAGTCTCAAGACGGGATGCCCACTACCAGCGCATAGCATTCTTGTTGTTAGAATAAACATTGCTATGGGCTTTAAAGTGACGTGCTTTTGACATGCGGTTCCAGGGCATAGTAAGTGTCGCGACGACAAGCTCGCTTCTGCGGTCGGGAGTCACGCGGCGGTCATGGGACTTCCGAAAAGGGGTGAAAAATGAAAGCCGTTTACGACTCCCGGTAACGCCGAATTAGAGCGCAGCTCTTGAGGAGGAGGAGGGAAGGGTACTGACGGGAGGGTATACCCCTCCTCCTCCTCCTTCTCACCTCCTTATCCTGACTGCTACTCCTTCCTCCGAGCGGCGTCGGCGTAACCGTGAGGTCACGTGACCCTCGTGACGTCGCGTGAGCTACCCTCGTGGCGTCATGGGGGTCACGTGAGTTCACGGGGGTCACTGACTTCACGGGGGTCGCGTGACGTCACCGGGAGCACGTGACGTCACGAGGGGAACGTGACGTCATGAGGGTCACGTGACTTCCCTGTTATTCTGACGGCGAGGCCGCTCATGCCGGAAACGGGCGCCTAAGAGCTGCGCTCTAAAACTATCGATACTACTATCGATACCATAAATAGTAGAAACTAAAACTAACTAAGGATAGTAAAAAAAGAAAACTATCTATAGCAATATGAATCGTATTTATCGGTAATCGACTATAGCAGGGGTCTCCAAACTTTTTGGCTAAGGGGCCGGATGGAGGCTCTGCCTCTGTCTCGAGGGCCGGAAATATAAATGGGCAGATGTAAATGAGGAAAATTTAAAGAAATAATCCTAGATATCTAAGCATGTAAATATACAATATTTAAAGTTAGAGTACACATGACACAAAAAGATTCTAAGGTGGATGAATGCATTCACTTTGTTATGAAATTTAATCATTTAGCTGCTTATCACATCACACAATAATTGGAGCCCAGAAAACATAACAGCATAAACCAGAGCGCATAGGAACTTTGGCACGTTCACACAGGGCAGAAGACTAGTGAGAACGATATACGTTATGCTGACAGTATTTAATAGCTACGACACAGTACACCAAGCACAATATACATTGGGACGTAAGTTAACTTTAACGTACTTAGTTACCCAGATATGGAACAGGGGATAGGAGTGTGGATTCTGCTAATGACAATGTCCAATTACTAATATGACCAGAGCTAGGACACGCCTTACGGTAGGCAGTTTTCTCTCGTTTTTCTTCTGGTAAATTCGCTTACGCGGTTGGTGCGCGCCGCGGCGCCATTTTACATGCGCCTAATTTTTCGCTAGTAGCCGCGGGCGTGCTGGAAGCGGGCCGTGGGCCATGCTTCATTGGGAGGACTGCAGCCAGCCACGGGCCGGTCGGAAGACCTCCGCGGGCCGGATTTGGCCCGCGAGCCGGGGTTCGGAGACCCCTGTATAGTAAAGCTATAGATAGCCGACTATCTTAAAACTATTATTAGCCGACTATTGTAAAACTGCCATTACAAAACTATTAATAGTCGATTGAATTACTCTATAATAGTGTTTTGATATGTGACAAAGAACGTCAAGAGTCCACTCAGAAAATCTTCAAGCGCGGAGAAAAACGCAATTGAAATTAGGGACTTTCACATAATTGTCTTGGAAGAATGTGAAAATCTTCGGAAATCTATCGGAAAACGAAAGAAACCCTGCTGAGAACGTATTGACGTCGAGCTGTAAAAAGGCTATCGGTAGCATACTATAGTTACATTAATAATGTACTATAGATAGGTTTCTTGATAGGTTGTCGACGTTCGTTCGTTCGATTTCCTACAGTTTGCGCATGTTCTTTCATAAACACTGTAAGGAAGATGAAAATATTTTTGTCGCCTCATAAATAAACTACGCATCACAGAAATTTGAAACTCAATAATGAATATCTTTTTGTCGCCTCTCATAAGTAAACTACGCTTCCAAGATATTCGAAACTGACTAGTGGAAATGTATTTGTCTCGTCTTATAAACAAAGTACGCATCAAATAAATTTGAAACTTACATGTATGAGGCTAGCGATGTTGATTGTATGCGAAAGTTCGCGGACACCACTTAACCCGAATGATAAGATAACTGTGGTGTTTCTGTCGACCGAAGAGGAAAGTAACCTTTATGGTGCACAAGGTGTTTCTCACGGAAATAATGCCACATGATCGTTATTTTGAACATAAAAAACTTAGTATTTTTCTTTTCTTTTTGATCCCGTTAACTTCATTTCCTCAAGTCTATTGTATGTGAAGAATGGCAAAAGTAGTCGTCAGTGAGTAACCATGTTGATTTTGTATAAGCTTTTAATCTGGTAATGTACAAAATGGAGGCGGACGCAACAAAATGCTTGTTACTAACATTTATTGAATTCTGCAACATATGAGGGGTTCTATATATTGCAATTGTATTTCATACTAACATAAATAATATTCCAGGTACCGTTTTCAAAAGCTGCCAAAACTCAAGCGATGAAAAAGTGGCAACATATCACGGCAGCGAAGTTTGACGATTTTTGCCGTCAGCTAATTCCCGATTTTTGGCACCCGCGTCTAAGAATGGGCATCAACATGAAACGAATATATATATGGCCCCCAGTGCCCATTTTTACCTTTCAGTGTCCAAAACTATGGAAAGGAATATGTGACATCTGAACAATGAGCGACAGGCGTCAAACAAACTTGCAAAAAAAAAAAAATGATGCAAAATTTCTTCACCAAGCGTTGTCCCTAGCTCACAAACAAAGAAAACTGAATGTACTTTTTATTTTAACGAATATTATTTATCTGCATGCTTATTCATTTATCGACACATAGTGTGTCCTATTTTGAGGCAATGCAGGAGTGAAGCTACTCATCCGCCCACAGAAATGGCGAACAAGGTAACAGAACAATAACACTCTACAGAATAACACTTCAAATTACGATAACAGCTAAGCACTCCTTATAAGCTGTGAACGCGAAAGCATTAATGCCAAACTGAACGCCGCTGAGTGCTAGCTTGGCCGGCCACGTTTCGCTACTGCCGAGGTTGTGGCCGCCGACGATATAGATGCCTCCGGTGCCGCGATGTTCCTCGGCGCCAAGACGAGCAGAAAAGGCCGTAAGGCCAGCAGGGAGTGCGGCGTTGCGCCTAGCAGACGGAGCGGGGATTTCCCGCCCGCCCTCCCGGTCCGGCCACGCCTGATGCGCCGGCCGCGCGCGCGCCACTCGTTTACCGTTGCACGGGCCGCAGCGCCAGAGGAGAGGGCTTCTCTGTGGTGTGACGTTCCTTGGAACTACGCCGCGTCGCAGCCATTTGAACTGCCCTTATTTTGTTTCCCGTTTTTTGGGGTCCCAAACAACGCCGGCTCCACTCCTTGGGACAGTTAATGCTTTCGCATTAATGATAACCACACATTTAGAGAAAGAAATGCATAATTGCAGAAATAAAATCATTGTACGCAAGCATATGCGTAGGACCCTGAAGATAAAGACTGATATATCTCAACTCCAGAAATATGCAAAATATGTGTGCAATGGAAAGTAACACAACACAATTTCTGCTTTATCTCTAAGTTCTTCGCATAAAAATGCAACTTCATTCATTTTTTTTTTATATTTAGCCCAGTGCTTTCGGCTGTCCAACCACAACCCTTTCCGCACACCGTTGTTGTCTCCTTTTTGGGTTGGGCTTTCAATTTCTTAATACTAATGAACACTTTCCTCAAAGTAGACTATTCATAGTATCGATCGTCGAACGAGAGCGAACGAAACAGCAGGAACAAAAAGGACAGAGGTGCTTTTTGACTTATATTCTCCTCACTGTGGGTAGTGCACCTTACCGGCCATGTATTCGCGAGAAGATCGAACACATAAAGAAGCTTTGTTCAGCTTGTTTTATTTTCTGTACATGGCTTAATGTTAACTTACAGAGACCTGTGCACTTCATTTTTAAAACATAATATCGATTGAGCGCGGGGCAGATACTGGCACGACAGCTGTGTTAGCGTTCAGCAAGGACTTGTTTTCAATCAATCCTTCACCGACTGAACATACGCCGCAGCCAGAATATTATAGGTAATGCGTTTCTCTTCTATGTCCTGCCACGTGTACTGAGGAGACTCAGGTTCAAAACCCGGTTGAGCTAATTATTGCATTTCGGCGGCTTTCAATCTTTAATTCCCATTCACTTAAAAGTGCTAAATTTATCTACATACTTTGATTGGTCATTTAGTACAAGAGCTCACGGCGCGGTCGCGGTTGTTAACGTTAAAATAGTGTCCTGCGACTGTCCAGTGATTAAATGATTAGAGTTTGGCAGCAGCGCAGATATTACGGTGGCGATCCCACGGGTCATCTTTGGAGCCTAGTTTGTTTTAGGCCATTTACCGGCACACTAAACATTCGTGGAATACACGGTAGGCTAGCCGGATGATTACACAACCTAAAGTAAATGTGTTATTTTGGGTAAAGGGTTGAATTCTGTCTGAATTTCCATAGTAACAAGCCCATTAAGAAATGCCGTTCGTGGAGGGTACTGAGAATCTTTTGATCGCCTCGCAGCCACTGATCTTGCGGCATTATCCGCTAAGAACTTGGAAAAATAAACAGAGCAAGAAACTGTGACATGACATGCCACGATCTTCGTTTCCCAATCTATCAGGGACTATAATATTGTGTTTCGAAGGTATGCGTGATCCATTTCTCACGATGCACATGTGCGTAAGAGTACGTTCTCAGTATTTGCACATAATTACCGTAGGGCGTGTTTACTTTTCGGCACCGAAAATTCAGCCTTTTATGGAATCGGGCAACAGTTAAGAAAAACAAGATTTTGTAGCCAATGTAATTGCGGCATTAGCGTTTTTTATATTGTGGATGACTGAATTGGCACCGAGGAGTTTCGGTGGCGTCCTCTGATGGATTCCGTCCGTGGCGTCACGACCCGAGTCTTTCCTCGCCGTAACTTCATGAGTTGTAACCTAATCTCTGACTACCGATCATCAGTTGCGAAGCACTAGTTTGATGGTATGAGTAAAAATAACGATGGAGCTTAGAGTGATCGTATTCTTAAACCAACAGCGTCACGGTTGAAGCTCTGACATTGTGCTCGTTCCCGTCGACCGAAGGAAAAAATTATGCGGAGAAGGACGTCACAGTGCCTGTTCGGCCTATTGCGAATTGCGACCACACCGACGAATTCGGTCGCGCACGCCGCTGTTAGTTTCCTCACCGATGAGGGCAAATAAACACAACCGAGGTGCAATGTGATGAGCAGAAAGAATGGTAACTCTGTGCCGGAACGTGACTAAGGCGTGTAAAAGGAATGCGAGGGTTTGAAGACTCACTGTGTCCGCATCCGTGGAGGATTCACTGGCGGCATTCTGGGGCCTGCTCTCGGCGTTAGTCTCCGGCTCGGAGGCTGACTCACCGATGCTGTCGTGACGCCGAACAGATGGAGAGATGTTGCCTTCGCTTCCATCCCGAGAACCGTCTGTGTGAAAGCTTGGGCCGGGCAGAGCCTCCACTTGCCCATCCGACATGTGCTTCGGGAGGGCATTTACTGACTCCGCCGACGAGTGTGGTTCATGCGTAGGACTTGAATTGTCCGACTGCGAACAGGTAAAAAAAAAAAGCGCCAGAGTTGTAATCATTTTCGGAGGTACAAAGTGGTTAAATGGTAACGTACAATGACATCAAAGTATTGGCAATGATGATACTTTGTGCAGACGATTCTTGCGTAAGAACATTTACGCAAAATTACTTTCTTTATTGTCATAGGACAGTGCTTGATAAATAAGTAGTCCATGACGAAAGCTAAACAGGCACACACGACTTGTAATGTGGGCAATGTGTCACACTATATTCACGGGTAAATGTTTTTTTATTTTTATTTACATGCACTAATTATATAGCCCCGTTCAGGACAGCGGAAGAAAAGTTCCAATGAAACGATAAACAATTATCACAACAAAAAATATGGTAACAAGCCTTAAACACTGTCCTGTCGTCCGCGTTTCTTTATTGTGAAGCGCCTGTCCTGTCGTCCGTGTTTCTTTATTGTCCCCGTTTGTTCACGCTTTTTAACCTTTTATTCAGTAATAGACGAACTAGCCCAAACCCAATTTTTAATGCTTAAACACTAGAGTAACAGTACATGTAAAATGGGGGCATGCGGCGAAAACCTGCTAACCCCAAAAAGTTAAATTCAACGTCGAAGATTGTTCTTACGTTCTTATAACATCAATTTCAATAGCTTTGGTCGTCGTTTTAGCGGGTAAACTACCGCGAACCTTAGCTTAAAGATACAATGGAAAAACAGAAAATGGAACGCGCTTTTTTTTTGTGGCAGTGGCCTAAGGATATACGTAATAAGCACGTTGAGATTAGTCATTGCAAAAATCAACACGGCAGAGAGGTCCTTCAGTTGTGCCATCTTCAGCTCGAGTTGCCTACCTTCGATTACGCTTCAGAGTCTGGTGAGACTGGAGTGCGTACACGTAGCCAAAGCACCACGGAAGGCAACGACCGCGTGCTGGAGTCCAGGCATTAAAACGAGACGCCTTGTCGTTCTCATATCGCCCGGGAAATATAGATTGAAAAAATTTAAAAATGACCCCCCGACGGAGCTCTCGCATACATAGAGCTTAATTGCGCCAGTTGCCGAAAACAGAAAAAAACGGGCCGCGTTTTTTCGTCAAATGTTTTGCAAAATCACTTAAAACAGTTTTATAGAGCTAGCGGTTATTTCTAAAACTTTGCAATCTGGTTGGGATTGCCAGCGCTTTATTTGGGCGGAAAATGAGCGTTCGGCAGTAAGTATTTTGTTTTTACGGTGAAAAAAATGTGTACTTTTTTCGAGGGACGCTGTGCATTTCTTCAGCTGTCAGTGGTTACAGTAATGGTTGAGTGTCCAGTTCTAACCCCGTTTTTTTCAGCTCCTTGACGTATGCAATTATTTGTTTAGAAACGATTTGTTCGAATCAATAACAGTCATTGGCATCTTAAGAAAGAACGCGTGTGTGGGCTATACCTTTAAGCGCCGTTCACACTCTTGCGGCCGAGTAAGTCCGAGAGAGACCAGACCGGTTTTTAAGCCTTTTGCGACTTCTTGGAACCAGATGCGATACAGCGGAGCTGGTCCTAAGAGATCGCAAGAGGCTTAAAAACCGGTCGGTCTCTCTCGGTCGTACTCGGTTGCAAGAGTGTGAACGGGCCTTTACGCCTCTTACTGCGTGAATCGTCCTTCTGTGTTCTTATCGCCTGATGCCGAATATTCATTGGCTGTGGAGCGCTAATAAGGTGCGTATGTTTCGTCACACCTCACGTTTCTTAGGTCGTCAACGAATATAACACAAATAAATAAAATGCAACGACGGTTAACTGATCTTTAAGAGACACGTGAATCGTGTAGGGGTTGAAAAAATGGAAAACATCTAATCTCCGGAGTATTTAGAAGCTGCCAGTTGAGTTCCAAAAATAATGAAGGGATGTTTCGTAATCCATGCCACGCAGCGTTTGACGAACGTATTGAAGATTCTACCTGGGCCACCACTCTTTCTTAGGTTATAGTTGTGCGGTAATGACAAGCTACATTCGTGTTTCTTGTAACGGACCACTCTCGAACACGAGTGCATTGCTTCACCCTTTGGGAAATCTTGGGATGTAAAGGTTTTAACCAGGTGACCCGCATGCCATATCGTCCATAGTCATCTGCACCACGGGGGGGGGGGGGGGGGGGGGGCAAGTGCTATTGACCACCCTAGAGGCGCTCCACTGCTGATAAAAGGCCGTCGCAGCATATGCGAGGGGGTTCTTGGAATCGCGGCATTGGTGATAATGGTCAATAAATGACTACGTGTCGTTGGACTAGTGCATGGTGTCATTCTCCGAGGCGAGTAGCTGCTACCCCCTGCATAAAATGCGGGATCATTTAAAAGCCACGGGCTTCTATTGCCTCTGAATTAACCGTTTAACAGTAATGATTACGATACGAATACATGAAATGATAAAAAACATAAAGGAGGAAACAAAAATATAATTTTTTTTTCATTTAGCATCAACATAAAAAAGACAAGAAATATCAAGTCGCCCCCTAAAGGTTTCAACTTTCTCGAAGGGGAAAGTAGAAAATTGGTGAACGAAGGGAAATTTACTAAACATTTTAAAGTTTAAAAGCACCGGCGACACGACGATGAATCACTAGTTTAGTCATCACTGGTTTTACGAATTCGACCTCTGTCTTTGTCAGTGATAAAAAAGGTGCAGAAATATTGTTGTTTACAGTGCCCATGACTCATGATTCAATGATTAATCTCCCAAATCTGTTATTGTACACCCCCCTCCCCTCCCCTAGCATTATAGTATAAGAGAACTAAGGAGTACAGTCATCGCCCGTACGGCTGAGAACGACGATTGGGTGAAAAGAGACATTTGAAGCCTTCGATGCTTCCAAGTTGTGTTCTCTGAGTCGGTGGTTAAAACATCCTCCAGTTTGTCCGATGTACTGAATGCATACATTCGAAAAGCGGCAAAAAACAAGGACAACAGAAAGAATTTGACGAAACAATGCGCTACTGCCAATTGAACTTTATTCTGGAAAGACGCACCTATATACACTCCCAAGGAAACGATTCGCTCACAATCAAACTTCTCGCGAGATGAATTCAAATTTTGTATCTGATAAAAGGATTGATGATGTGCTGAGGCATACTTCATCGCTTTTCGCCCTGATTTTAAAAGTTTCAAAGATTTATTTTTCTGTTTTGTTTTATACCTTCCCAAAATCTGCGTTTCATCGACATGAACACTTGTCACAATGAATGGCCCAGTTTCTCGAATTTCTTACAAAAATTTTATGTTCCCTGGCCCTCTTATTTACGTATTTCCTCGTCTGCCCTATATACGCTCTCCAGCACGTTGTCAGTATTTCGTAAACCACCGATGTTTCTCAATCTACATATTTGTTTACATGCTTTTTTTGAGCATGCTTCCCCATTTTGTCCTTTATTATTCACCATTGGGCATAATCTAGATAACTTTAATGGTACTGTGAACACAACAGGTACTCCGAAAAGACCGGCAATATTTTTTTTAAAGATTGTGGGACAATATATGAATCTGCGGCAAAATCGCCTTCAGGATGCCTTCGGATTCACTTTCTCTCTTTACTTAAAAATTTTACAACTTTTTTTCAACTTTTTTAAAATAAACATTCAGTTGACAGTAGCGCATCGTTTCGCACAATAGTTTCTGTTGTCCTCGTTCTTTTGGTGCTTTTCGAATCTAAGATGAACAAACTTGGCCAACCACAAATTCTTGTACTGACTGCCGCAGCTTGGTGGAATTGAATAAATCTCTCTTTATTCGAACTCTACAAATATTTTAGCATGTTTACCGTAGCATCCTCTGGGCATGTCGCTCTCATTAACCTTTTTACACATCTGCTTATGGAGCTTATGACAGGAAAAAACCACACTCACGTCAAATTTAGAGGCGAAATATCTTAAACGGTGCGCGTAATTGTGCATGTAGGGAATCACAGCGAAACTACCTTTCATTTTGGCAACAGCTTGCGGAAGTTGTCGCCTGAGAATGAATCTCTGAAGAGTGGAACTATGTAGGTCCGCACAAAAACCTGCTTTTATCAACCTCTGCTGCTGCGACTTGAGGCTACTTTCTAAGAAATGCGGACACGACTTAGAGAACTAGGACTTAAACGCGACCTCACCATGCCATGCTTAACTGACTTGGAATGAGCACTGGTGAAAGTGAGAACTGGTTTCTCCGATCTCTGCTGGAAGGCCCAACAAAGACCTAGCGAATGAGGATGTAAGCGTAAATCTAGGAATTGTAATTCTTTTTTGGGAGGATTTTTCTGCGTAAAATTAAGTTAGTCCTGCTGCACAGTCTTTGAAAACTTCTAGGATGCTTGCGGTGGGCACAGCTTCTGGATAAATGACCAAGTAATCGCCGACATACCTAAACACTAGGCAATCCTAAAAAGGCTTGTTCAACCGATGTTTGATAGCCCGGTCAACAAAAAGAACGAAGATTTAACTAACGGCAGGTGCAAGGCAAGAGCATATACACTCTCACCTCTTTTGTCTGTAAATTTTTTCCTCCTATTCTACTAAAATGGACTGCAAACAAATACTTATCAGGACGATGAAGCCCTCAGCCGAAGAACCGAAGAAATTTGAAAGTCGCAAATTCTGTGTTTATGCATCGCACTAGTACAAAATTCAAGATGACTTTTGGTTCTATTTTGTAAAAGATATATTAAATGTCGAAAGACATAATTGGGTGCTGAGTGCAAAGAAAATAAAGTGATTCGAAGCGGGAGATCAATTCAAAAAACTTCTGAACTCTGAAAGACTTGGGGAGGATGAGCTTAGACAAACGTGTTTGCAGATAACGACCCAGAGGTTTTTGCCAAGACACAAATTATAAAATCATGCGTCTGGAGTGAACTGTATCCTTATGAGTCTATGCAGTAAAGAACAAGGATAAATACTGTTTGGCAAGATCACTACTGACGCTCTTAAGGGACGTCAGGTTCAGGGAGGAACACAGCACCTTTGCCCTCGAGCACAGCCTGCCCGAAGGCCTCGTTCTTAAAAAGTCAAAATTATTTTATATTCTTTGACTATTCTTTGGACAGAACGTGATCAAAGATACAAGGTGTTTCAGCTAACGTGTGAGAACACTTAAAGAAAGCTGGTTAACGCTACGCGACTTGCACTAACACAGCTTTGTTCACTGTCCTACTGGCAAGTCTATATATTGTTTCGGTGGTCAAAATTAGCAGTAGCCATCGCATGCGCAATATTTTCAAGGTTAAAAAAAAAATTCGCGAGATTAAAAAAAATCACGTGACAAAAAACTCTAGCATCGCAGTTCGGTAGCTCGTAGTCACGTAAAATTTGTTTTAAATCTCGCGCAAAATTTTAGTGTTTTCTTTAATGCCAAAAAATCAGACACAGAAAGGCTACCTTTGTAAAAACAACACATTTGGATGTTCTTCAAAGTGCTCTACAACTTTTGCGTTGAAAGAATTGCGCACCAATTAATACGAAAATCCTTTGCTAATTAATTTCTGTGAATTGGTCAGTTCGGCTCATAGGAAGAAATACCTTGACTTGCCCAATGGGACTGTACAATACATAATTTAGTTCGAAACGCATAGCGTAGAGCTTTGTATAGGTATTCGCACGAGTTAGCTGAAACGCCCTTTATATAGCTCGCCCTTTTGCCATTTAGGGGAAATTCTCACAAGACCACAGAAGCCCTCAATTCATAGGATTACATAATCCGCCTTTGTTTTATTTAAAAAACCTCGACCGGCACAACTTCACAGCATAGTTCATTTAAAATGTACTTCATACGGCTTTTGTCGGAAGAGAAACGAATGTATTCATCCGTCGCGTGAAGGAACCCATACAAATCAATATGAAGGAGAACTTAGTGTTTTTAAAGTGTGTCCAAACCTTCACCCTGCTCGTGCTTCGCGTGACGAAGTATCAAGCAAGGACATCTCGACCAAGAAAAGCTAGATACCGCAACGAGCCCGATGGTGACTGTGGCCTGTATAAAACAACGGGGACGGAGAAACACATTGCCGCGAAAGCAGGCCATTATCCTCCAGAGCAAACTTAAGATGGTTGGAGCCATTGCTGACGCAATCTATGTTCTTTCTGATATTCGTAGCGGAGAATTTCTTTCTGGATTAGGATGATCTAGAACTGAGATGTAGCGCCAAGGACGGAGCGTACATTCAATCCTTTGTGCCTTCGTGATCGCGTTCGACCAACGTTGCATGATCAACTAAATCAAAAACGTAAACTGAATCTCAAACTTTGCTACATTAACACAATTTTCAAGAATTGAAAAAAAAAAAACACTCCCCGCAATTTGAAGTTTAGAGGAATTCTAATTTATCAGCAGACCCTTATCTCAAGGGTAACAATAAAGATGACCCTTCACGTTACTCTCTGCGGAATCTAGTTAGGGCACCAGGTCAGTGTATGCTACAGGATCCTTAGCCGTAGGCACTTCTGTCACCTCTGATGATTGACCAATAAGAAATTTGTCGTGAACGTTCATTGAAGAGAACGTGTCAATGCTCGGCACTAGTTGGCGGCCACAGAAGCCTGTCTAAGTAATTGTGTGATGCTAGCCACTGGTTTCGCAGAAATAAGAGAACAATGTTTTCTGACAATAGAGGTCATTCTGATAAATACTTGTATTTCCGTTGATAATTAAAATAATTTTTGTATGACTGGTGTCTTTGTATATGAATGTTTTTTTTTTCATAAAACAAATTACCCATTGAACAATAAAAATCATCCAATTTTCCAGATATATAAAATTAAACAAAATTAAATTTATCCGATCATGCCGAATTTTCGATGGGAACAAACTGCTAGAAAAGCCTTCCAGGTTTTGGCCGAAATTCCAACTCTGCGAACTCAGAACCACGGTGGAAGAGGAAGGTGCCTGCACGGCGCCGCCTCGCCACGGAGCAAGTGTGTCGAAGGTTCGCTCCCATCTCGGCGAAACGCCGTGAGAGTGCGCAGTTCGGCATGACGTCCGCGTACTGTAAGTCTGAGTGCGGGTTCAAAAGATAAGGGCGGCGCTAAATAATCGTTGTTTATTATCTAGTCAGCGGTGACAGCCGCATAGAACCAAGATCCGTGAAAAGCAGCGAAAAAGTAAAGGAATTGGCGGACGTTGTGGTGCCCGGCCTTTTTCGGTACCAAGTTTGAATGTCTGTCATCTTCGATGCAATAATAAATCAACTTCTCGAATAAAATTACAATTTTTTTGCGGCAACAGTTTGGGGCGATACCTTGCAAGTAACGCAGAAGAACACTACGCTGGTCAAATGACGCACAAAATGCTCGTGTCCAGTACTTTTTTTGCAGTCCCGATGAACTGAAGCAGCGTTGTGCGCACATAAACCTGTCTACAAACCCAAGATGTGCCACGGCGAATACCCGTGGTTCAATCATTTACACGGGAACCGTGCAATAAATTCAGGGAGGAAAGCTCTCAAAATCATTCGTCCCGTGTACCACTCTTACCAATAAAAAAAGAGATTCCTAGCTTCAAAACGAGACTTTGAGAGATAAGAAAGGTAGAGGGATGTTTTGTCGAAAAGGGAAAGATTATTTTTTTGATACCCAACTCGTGAACTGAATATCCAACTCAAATATCCAACTCGTGAACTGAAATTAGCTCCAAACACCACTTCCCGAACGCAGTTCCGCGATATCTCACTAGCACACTCGCGCATTTGAAGCCGTGACGGTATTGATACCACGGAAAATCCCACACGAGGAAGCTCCGTTAAAATACAAACGCAAATATGAGCACAAGATTGCCTATAGCTGACCCAAAGATCGGTTCAATGCTTCGCTACCGAGAATTGTTTACGTGACGGCTATGTGACGGATGGCGCTGCATCGGTGTTGCCAGGCATACCGAAATGGCAAAATAACTGGTTTTGGCTTTTAAAGATACGTCCCCTATAGAAACATAAAGAAGAGTATTGAAATATACTATTTTATTAATTTCATAAAGTATTCGAGTGTATTCAAGTCCTTCTAAACTAGAAGAAAAGGGAAACACGCTATATACCCCCATATAAAACCAGACAAAATCTGCCACAACATGGCGTCTATGAACCAGGTGACATTGGAAGCGGGCGATCCTTGAGTTACACGTACCATGATTAAGTGAAGCTAGCGGAGCCCCTAAGGACACGGACACCCCCCAAATGTTTTTTTTTTTTTTTTCATTTGTTGCCAGGCGATTTTTTATGGTGTCGGATTACTACTCAATTAATATTTTGCTACAGAGTCACGTATTTTTCAAATAAAGCCAAAAAAACGCAACTGTTCGAAACTGAAACCGAAACCCCAGTACCGCACGGAGAAGTGGAGAGGAGAGAGTGAGTGGTGAGTGAGTGAGTGAGTGGTGCGACTCGAACCGGCCAGGGGGTTTTCGATCGCCGGTTTTCGGGCGGAAAGAAACCGAATATTGAGCCGCAAATTCTGTTCTGGGTAGTTGGGCTCTCATATGTCACGTACAACTAAAAACCTCGGCGAGCTTAAATACCCTGTCAGTGTCCCTTTAAGTCAAAAACGCCCCTGTTGGTAGTGTGCGAAGCCCGAGTAGAATTTGGCCCCCCTTTCTTGCCTTGCCAACCATGTTCCGACAATTCTCTTCTTCCAACGTGCTCAGAAACCTTGGTATCGTAAATGTATTCGGTTTTTTAAATGTTACTGTCACCACTCTGCACCAGGCCCTTGCTTCACTCCGTTTCATTCACAAACAAATCGCAGCGGACGGTTAACTGAGCCATCTTTCCAATCCTGAGGTAAGACAGGTCACGCATGACCTCGTGTACCACGCGTCGCCGCGCCCACGCCAAAGGCCACGTAACTTTGCCTCGATACTGTATTGGCCGGAAGGTTAGACGGAGTCTATCAGACAGAATAGACCCGCCATTCCAACAGTCACCTTCTCCGCGTTGCCATCTTTGTCTCCTGGGCTGTAGAACCGTTCTGGAAAAGCTCAGTAGCTCTCTTCTGAGAAATAGCACACGACGCGCACGTGTCCACAGTCCGGTGACTCGGCATTTTCCGCCTGCGTAATACGCGCTAGAATGGTGAATATAAATCCAACAAAAATTCGCAGTGCGTCCTCACCGGGATTCCAGGGTCAGAGCCGTCGGGGTCGTTGCTATAGTCCCGCGGCGGAGACTCGCTCGCGTCGCAGGGCAACTTGCCCAGACGACGCACTTCCAGCACCATGTGTGGAGACTGCCTCAGAATCTCGGCGGCGTCGTCGTGAGTTGCGACACTCAGCTCTTGCTCGTTCACCGAGAGAATCTGGTCGCCCACCTGATGGAGACACGAGAAGAATGGTTCCTCAGAATTTCAAGGAATCATCGCTGAAGGAATGGTAAAACAACAGAAAGCAAGGATGTCTTAAAATGACATCTAGCACACCCTCGCAGTTCAGCCGCCGGACAAGGAATACGCTTAAAAATAACGACACTTCAATTATCTCATTGCTTGAAATCATTGTTGCCAGTTATCTGAAGCGTTGTCTGAAATTGCTGGAAACGCGTTTCCGCTTTTTAGAATAGGTTTACTCGACCACGACCAGAAAACACTATCGGTTGCGCTTCCTGACACCATATGTGTAGTTCAGCATGTCTATGTTGGACATCGTGCATGTTCCTTTTAAAAAGTCACGGAAGGGACTTTTAAAGGTTGGTTGGGTGCAAAAGTTACGTAATTCACCCACAAAATGCGGGTGGAGTCGGCTAAACCAGAAACTTCACCCTTACAGGACGTGACATAATCGTGACGTTTCGTTTAGTACTTACAACGTTTCAAAAGGTACCAGCTTCAAGGTAGGCTTTCGTTAGTCATGTTTTCCTAACCGCGTCGTCGATAAGCTATTATGCCGCTTTTCAACTAAGTGAGTTATTAGGTCGAAAGCCTTATATGTCCCACTACGCAAAAAGGCGGCGTCAGCGTTTTGCCCAAAAGATGGCCATAAAAATACGGCATCAAGCACGCGCCGCTCAAGGTCAAAGCAGATGCGCCTCAGAAATAAAACATAAAGAAAAGCCCAACAACGCAGATGCTTCGTCACGGAAGCTGTGACGCCAGCGGGGGCGCCGCGCCTGCAAAGTGGGGAGCGTGATTACACAGCCGGAGCGCCGTGCTCGAAAGGAAGATGTGTCTCGCTGCTTGTTGGGATGCGCCGCGTGTAGGAATGATTTTGAATTCCTGCACGTCAGCAGTCTTAAGTCTATTCGGCGTATTTTTGTTTTCGCCGGGCAGATTTTACCGGCCGCACCGCGATGCACTCGAGTTGCCGGGGGAGATCTTTTGCAAACATTGCCTTCCAAAGAGTGTGTTGCGGCGGTTGTGCGACGCTGGGCGAGACAACGTTGGCGCGAGTTACCGGAAGAGGAGGAGGAGGAATAAACATTATTGTGCCCATATATCATTCTCTGGGTGGTTCCCGTAGTTCAGGGCCACAACGCTGTCAGCCGTCAGCTTCGCAGGTTACATCAACTTTAGTTGGTCGGCAGCCGACGAGCTGAGCAGTTCGGCTTCCCATTTCTCGGGAGTGGGAGCAGGGTGGGATTAGGGGATGTTGAGGAGTGCTGCGCATAGCCACGCTGTGTGTGATAAGGATGCACATTGCCCGCAGTGTGAACATTCGACTTTGTAGTTTAAGTGGAAGAATTTGTGCAAGAGCGCTAAGTTGCGGAACGCGCCTGTCTGGAGATGGCGGCAGGCGACCGCTTCCTCTCTGTTGAACTTTTTGTGTGTCGGGTGGTATTCGCGCCTTTGGCCACGGGGTTGGCCCTGATTTCTAAGTATGCATCTGTCAGCGGAATGAAGTATGAATCTAGCCGTAGTCGCGACGCGGCAGCGGGAGCGTCCCGGAGGGTACATGCTCGGTCTTCGGTGTCAGCACACCAATTACCTTTCACCTCGTCGTGTCCTGGGATCCATATGAGATCCACTGTAGTGAAGCTCTTACGGCCTTTCTGGGTGAGGGCCTTTAGTGTCTTCGGCGAAACACGACCTGCTTGAAAGCGACGCAGTGCTGTTTTCGAGTCGCTCGCGATGGTTATCTCATCTTCGCCAAGCCCAATGGCCATGGCGATGGCGAGTTTCTCTGCTGTAGTAATATTCGAGGTACGCAGCGACGAAGTGACTCGGGCGCTCCCAGTTTCGTCCACGACGCATATTGCCGCTGCGTTTCGTTGGTAGGCCTATGTGGCCACGTTTGTGTACAAGACGTCAGACCGTTTGTTGTACTCCTTCATGGTAGAATCTGGCCCGAGCCTTGCAGCGCTCTGCGGGGGGGGGGGGGGGGGGGGGGGGGTGTCGCGTCCATGTAGCGGGGAATCATGTAGAGCTCAATTTCGCTCCAGATGTTTGTAGGGGTGGGTACCGTGGTGTCCTTTCTCTCTCATTGAAAGAAAATATTCAGCGACTCGACGACCTCTCTGCCCGCAATGGCTTGGCCGAGTCGGTCTCGATAGTAGCGAGGTGGCTGTCCACCAGCTCCCTAAAAGTGTTGCGGACGCCGAGCTTGAGTCGCTGGCCCATGGAGGCCGAAGGCCGTCTTGTACGCTTTGCGTATGAGAACATTCAGCTTGTTCTCGTCTCCCTTGGTAAGATTCAAATAGGGTGTGGCTTAGATGATGCGCGACAGCACCAGGGCGTTAACCAGTATGATCGTGTCGCCTTCAATGAGGCTGTGCCACCGGCTGGCGACTCGGGGCATGATGCATAGGATCTGAATGACTTGGTTCTGGATGAGTCTGAGAGTGTGGGTTGACTTTCCGTCCTCCTGGAGGTAAAGGCCCAAGATTCTGGCACGCGGTACCAAGGGAATTTGCGAGCCGAGCCCAGAGACTTGCATCGCGTCCCTGAGCTCGGGCTTGTGGGGCGGGACTTTGGGGTCCTGCAGACCAGGATCAATTTCGATTTGGCTGCCGAGATCCATAGGTGGCCTGGGCGTAGGTACCGTTGAACATCGTGGTCCACCGCCTGAAGCGCGTCATGCTTCTCTCCGTCAGACCGGGACACGGTCTAGCCTGTGAGATGGGCTACGTGCAGAGAGTGTATAGCGTGCGGGATGCGCTCCAGGGTTGAAGGGAAGGGGGGAGGGGGGCAGCCAGCTCATTGCCAGATTGAACAGGGTTGGCGAGAGTACCTACCTCTGCGGCGTGCCCTTATTGGGAATGTTGATGGGGTCCGTGCCGAGGTCCCCTGTCCTGTTCGGTAGGAAGCCCGCAAGTAGTTCCACATTCTGGAGCAGCAACTTGTGACTGTAATGTGTCGGAGGATTAGCTGGTGGCCCACGTTATCAAAAGCGCCTTTGACGTCTAGGGCGAGAACCGCTTGAGTCGTCGTCTTGGAGATGGGGCCGATGATGTCTTCCTTTAGCTGCAGCATCACGTCCTGTGTTGACAGATGATCTCAAAAATCAAACATAGTGTGCGAAAACGAGCCCGTCTCCTCGAGGTGCGACTGCATCCATTTGAGGACGACCCGATCCATCAGCTTTCCTACGCAGGACGTGAGCGAGATAGGAGGCAGGCTTGCAACTTGCAAGGCAGGGTTCCTTCCAATGTTTGAGGATGAGGATAATTTCCCTGTGTTTTCATTCCTTGGGGAGCTCGCCCTCTTTCCATGCCTGGTTGATCTGTTTCAGGAGGTTATGAACCGAACCCGCGTCTAGTTTTCGGAGCACCATTCTTTGGACGCAGCCCTGGCCGGGTGCCGTGTTGCGGCCCAGGTCTTGGAGTGCGTTCTAGACTTCTTCGAAGCTGAAGGGGACGTCCAGGTAGCGGTCTGGCTTGCCCTCGTGGTCGTGGTTCTCCTCGTCCGGGGACGAGTCAATGTACTGCTGTTTGAGCTGTTCGAGGAGGATCTGGTTGGTGACGGAGAAGTGGCGAACGATTTTCTGTAGAGTCTGGCTGGTGATACGTTTCCTTTCGCTGGCGTCCAGGACGTGTCGCAAGAACTGCCACGCTTCTTTGGTCCTCAGTTTCCGTTGGAGATTGGTGCACTCCTTGTTGCAGTTCCATTTCTTGTTACCGTCACTCCATTTGTTACCGTCGCCCCACTAAACGCAGAAACTGCTCCCCGCTTTCTGGTAAACCCTACCCCGGTTTCCAGGTGTATGGTCGCCTCGGGGACTCCGCTCGCCGGGACTTGGCACTGGACGTCGCTCAAACGGGTGACAGGCGTCAATTTCACGATGACGCAGAGGTGTCAAAAAGGGCAGAGCCACGGTGCGTGTGCTGCTAGGATACGTTCCTTCCTTCCTTTACGTCAATTCCTTGACATTTTTGTTTAATGTCCATCTTAGCAATGCAGGAAGTCGCAATTTTTAGTCGTAACTATCGCCACATGCGCCCTCTCTGCTCTAGGCAAAAAAAAAAAAAAAATGGCGTCGCTCACAAGCCAGTCGGGAAGTGAAGTGTCCATACTCTAAGCGTGGCTTATTTAGTAGCTCTAGTTTAATGTAGACCACGGCGTTTTGTAAACATAAACGGGAAAGGAAGCTACGACCGCTAACCTGGTGTCTTAAACGTGTGTGCTTAGCGATGCGCTTTGTACTCGCGTGGTTTTCGAGCGCAGCTCTTACCGCTCATTCACACTGGAAGCGGATCCGCGTTCGCAAAGCGGTTGCGAACGCGCACTCGGTGGAATTGTACTGGATCTTTATACAACCGCGTTCGCAACCACTTTGCGTACGCGGATCCGCTTCCAGTGTGAATGAGCGGTTAGGCCCCCGTTTCCGTCTTGAGTCGCGTCGACGCGTCGCCGTCGCCATCGGTGTAACCGCGCGTTGCATTATGAGTAACGTCCCATAATGCACCGCGCTGAAACGTCACGAGTGACGTTTCGGCACGTTTCGACACGTTTCGGTACGTTTCGAAACTGTTCGGGACGTTTCGGCACGGTGACGTTTCAGTGGAAGTCACGTGCCGAAACTTCGCCGTGACGTCTACCGGAACGTCGCATGACATTTCGGCACCGCGTCGAAACGCCGCGTGACGACGCGCGTTTCGCGCGTGAAGGAAGAAGGAGGGAAAGAAGAGAAGGTACAGATCAGGAGGAGGGGCATACTGTCCCCTCAGCACCCTTCCTTCCTTCTGCTCAAGAGCTGCGCTCTAAATCGGCGTTACAGGAAGTTGTAAATGTCTTTCATTTTTTGTAATAGTTTAGCAGAAATTAGTTTCTAAAATATAAACACAAAAAAATAACATAAACAAGAAATTTTTAAAAGCTCAAGATTACAGTCCTTATTCGAGATTATAGGCTTTTGTTAACTCAAGATTATAGGCATCATTCAATGGGTTTATTCCATGGGTTAGAGTACCTTGTTCACAAAATTTAATAAATGTTATTACGCATGCCAAGGGAACGTGTCTCATTGGTCGCCTTGGACGTCTATTTGCAGGATCTACAGTGGCAGAAATGTACTGCTCTAGATTTTTTTTAACAATCTAGCAGAATAAAAAACTGTTAACTTTTTTTTCATTACCGCTTCTGGAATATTTTTGCCTATAGCCATTATTGCTTTTTGCTAAGAATTCCTCAAAAGGTATTGCAGCGTTCAGTGACCGAGAGGACTAGGGGTAATGAATGACCTTATAAAGGCACGAGAAAAATCCAGATGGTTGTGGGGCTGTGAAGTAACGGTATAACGACTTCGGTACCATATTATGCAAATAAATGTATTCCAGGATGGACACTTTTTAAGAACATAAATATAAATATTCAAATGGGGGTTGAGGATGAACGATGCCAATCTTTAAGCACCTTTGCAAGTTTTCGAACTCCCTGCGCATTGAAACGTACACATTTTCTGGTTTGTTGCACATGACAAGAGTAGCGCTCAACTGCTGTGGTATGTGTTGTGACGTGCCCCTTCGCAACACGTAATCAGACATTCATTCACGACACTCAAAAAGGAACCGTGCCTGCACTGGCGAATAAACGTCAGCGCGCACTGGAGGATGTGAAAAAGCGAATGATGTCCACCTGCGAACAACCATGATTTAGTAGTTTGAACACAACCTTCTGATAGTAAATTCCAATCTTCGGTGTTTCAAACAAAGTAGGAATTTTTAATCTGACATTTTTACAGTTTTACCACCTGATGATATTATTGTGATAAAAATAGAAAGACAGGGGAAACGAACCACGGTCCCAAAATAACGACGCCCACGCATTTGTTTGTATTTGTAATAAATAATGTTACAACAACGAAAAAAATATATCTATCTGCACGTACTACCAGCACTAAATCTTAGGAGGCTTGTTTACGTGATGTGATTGGGCATTTTCCAAATAGAAGATGCTGAACACGAAACTATCAATATATCTTGTTCCGTAGCGTGCCGGGAAGTTAGCTATGCCGTTCTGCAAACTTTGGATTACGCTATATTGGTGCCTTCATGTCAAAAAAGTAATGTTTCGTGCTTCTATCGGAGAAGCAGAGTCACAAAAAGGTACGAGACAATTTCGACAACAGCTAGGGTACATACCTCCAACATATTGATATTTTCTAGTAAGTTGTAGCAAAGACACTCATAACGTTTGTTTGTTTCTTTTCAGAGCGCAGCTCTTAGGGGACCGTTTCCGGCTTGAGAGGCGTCGCCGTTGGCGTCGGCGTAACCGCGAGGTCACGTGACCCCCCCCCCCCCCCCCCCCCCCGAGGTCACATGATTCCCTGAGGTCACGTGACCCCTTGAGGTCACGTGACCCCCCTGAGGCCACGTGACCCCCCTCCCCGGGGGAGGGGCGTCACATGACATCGAAGGAAGTCCCTCCGAGGTCACGTACCCCCCTGACGCCACACGACCCCCCCCCCCCTGAGGTCACGTGACCTCAAGGAGTCACCTATCCTTCAGTACGCTTCCATCCTCCTCCTTAAGAGCTGCGCTCTAATCCGGCGTTACACGGCTTTCATTTCTTAACCTATTTATTTGTTAATTTTCTGGTGTATGGGGGCATTTAAACTAAAACACGTAGCCTAACAAGCTGCCACAAATGTACCCTTCCACAAAGCAGGACTGTAATTATAGGCCAGAAAATGAGGCATCTTCATTAGATCACATTTCTTACCTGGAGGCCCGCCAAATCGGCAGCCGATTCGGGGTCCACAGCCGTGACGAAAACTCCGAGCCCGTATTCGAGGCCTCCGCGGATGGTCAACCCCAACTGGCCTCCTTTCTCAACATTCAGGCTTAGCTGTGAGTGGATAAAGAAAGATAATAAGGGTGGTTATAATAATAATACTAATTCCCTCATTTTTCCAACAAAAAGTAGAAAGGTGACGAGGAAAAAAAGCTGTAAAAACAGCTTGATGGCCCCTAGCCACCCCAAACGTGAGTTGACAAAAAACGCCGAGGTAGAAGAGCTTATTTTTTCCACTGCAGGAAAACAAAAACGAGACAGACTCTTAGCGATGCAATAATCTGCCCCAAGAATTTACTCCTCTGACTCTAAGAATTTCCGACTTTTAGCACTTTTTTTTATAGATAGTTTTCGAAAGCGTTTGCGCTATTGCCTACATTATTTCTAAGGATTTATTTGATTTCACTGCATTTTGATAGTGAGCCCAGTGGTGTCACTAGGGTCAGCGGCACTCCGGGCTTTGGCCCGCCGCGACCCTCCCAACCCTCCCCACCCTCCTGCTTTCGTGGCCCAACGCGACACCCCCCCCCCCCTCCCAACCCACCCCTTTTTCGGTGCCCAGCTGCACCCCTATAAGAGCTGCAACCGGGGCGGTCCACCCCCCTCACCCCCCCCCCCCCCCCCCCCTCTGGTGACGCCACTGGGTTTGTTTGATGTTTGTGGCTACGCTGAACATATCCGGGTACTTTTTGTATGTTCACGCATTCTATGAGACATGCATGCATACATTCAATGGCACATTCACGCAATGCATGACATATTGCTTGTTAGAATTTAAATAAGTCAACGCTTTTAACGACCCTGTGTAAATTTTAATTACTCGAAAAGAAGTCAATAGACCAATCTCACCAGCCAGTTTGACTACGCCACCGCTACCGGAATGCCTCGAGGGAACAGTCTTTCTACACGAGGAACAACCTCGCTAAAGCTCTGCGCGTGTAGGGCCCGAGATTGCTCGAGCCCTATCGGACACTGCCGTTTGCCTCTTGTGAACTAAAGCTATGGCGGCGTTACGCATGCGCCGATCACTTAATGAGACCGGTGTATGTCAAAAAGTAAGAAAACTATTAAAAATAGTAGCGTGGCTTGCAAAATGTGCGTGTTGTTTTTTGTTACGCAGTCATTAACTTAGGTAACGAGACAAAAAAAAAAAGATGACTAGGATAAAGTTAGAACAATACATAAAATGTGCACAGCTGGACTCGAGATGCGCGGGTGCACATTCAGAACCCTTAAGACTTGAAACCTTTTCAACAGGCACCTTTTTTATTGAAAGAGCGAGCATTTAGACCGAACTCGAGGGATGCCGAAACTAAACGGGAGACGAAATTTCGGTGTCAAATTAAAATCATAGCATGCCACTGTGCATTTTCAAGGCTTTCGCAACATGGACAGGGATGTCTTACGATATTATTTATTCCAGAATTATGTTTGTTTAGGAGTTTTATCGTAGTCCCTGTTAAATTCTCGTAATACCTCACAATTTAGTAAGGCATCCCATTTTACCTTTGTACCTAAAATGGGACTCGAAATTCCTTGAAAAAAAAAAAGGAAAATTCCCCGCATGCAACACTACTGCTCATTACAATATTTCGGTGTGTTTGCGCAACATAACTCCTCCTCTCATCTTGACAAAAATATTTTGGAAAACAGTTGATAGAGGTCGTTACAAGTGGTGCTATGCTTTTGCGCTCTTCCTACCCTATTCAAATTAGAACAGTTTGGCTGAAGGGTTTTGTCACTTCAGCAAGTATCTATACACACCCACGCGCGCAACGTTCCCGCACCGAGCAAAAGCGAGCAACTGTCTTTTGATATTTTGAATGAGACATTCGTTTCATAGCACCTTCATAAATAAAACTTCAAAACAATTTTCCGGAGCCTAGTTGGAAAGGTTTGTGAACCTCAAAATGCACTAGCCAATCTAAATGTGATATATTTACTCGCTATAAAGTTTGAAAGTGCAAAAAAGCATGAAATCGGAAGGGATCTAAAAGTTTAAACCATTACGAAGCAACGTAGCGTCCGGAGTGTGAAGATAGGTGGCCGGCCTACCGTAAACAAGTGGTTTTAGTTTTAGTTGACTTTGGTACATGGTCACTGTGACCAGAATTTCATATTGTACGATGTGTTTATAAAATGTTTTGTGTAAAAAATAAGGCTTCTGTAGAATATGTTTATTGATCCCAAGTCTTTTTCAAAAAACGCTTATTGATCATCGTAACCAGTGGGGAAATGTTTTGGTTGAAGGAAATGCAATGATGTCCTTTTGAGCGTTCCTTGTTCTGTAGTCCCAAATTCAAAATGCGTAATCGCGATCCATGCCAAGGCTTTTTAGATAACCATACAGTGTTGGAAACTTCAGAAGAAAGAATACGTTTTTGTATTACGTAAGAAAAGTATGCATGGCTGTGTTCAAATAAGATCCTTGAAGCAAGTTAGGACGTAATTATTTGTTTTTGCCTAACTTTTTATATATTACTCTGCAACATGCTTAAAAAATGCAACCAAAAAATTATTTTGCACAATACTTTATATTTGAAGAAATATATATTTTTTTTTAAGTGCCGAAGAACGGTATATTTGATTTTTGAAGTGTTTGCTTATGTCATGTTCGGTGACGCCTACTACGGAAACTACAAAAATAAGAAATTTAAAATAGTTTGACCTTATTATAGATCATGAAAACTATTCATTCGAATATGTACGCCAGGATAACAGAAAGCTGGTTTAGTATAGGCATTTTAACTTTCGAACTTGCGAGGAAGGTAGGAAACAAACTCGAGTCTCCATGCTTGTCATTCTCCAGTTTTTTTTCGCTCTTTACGGTGAAATAAAGATTGTTCTACTTTGAACAATCCTTGGTCGCTGATTGAAAATAGTGTTTTTGGATATGCTTCATGCAGAAGTCCGCTTTGGAGTTTAAAAAGATGCGTTTTTTTTGTTTTTTGTTTTTGTCGTTGAGATAGCTACAGGAGTTCCTTTTTGTGCGCCGGTGGTCGGTTGCGCGCTGAGTAAGACTAAGAGATAGAGCCAGAACACCTTTTATTTAAAGCGCACATCTCCCCAAATCCGGGGCTCCGAAATTACGAAGCCCCCTTGGCCAGCAGTCACGGCGCCAGCATACAGAACCTGTGCCAATACAGTGCAGTTACATGTGGCGGCCACACCCTCCGTTCAATATTCGGAACCAAATAGCGGTGGCTTCCATCCTTTTGACCAAATTGAACCCGCGAGTTTTTTCCGCCCAAGACAAGGCCTGCAGGGCTTTACCTTCGGCTTATCAGTACCAAGCTCTCTCATTTCTGTACCGTAATAGCCTTCCTCTCGCCAGCTATAGCTGATGAGCTTGCCGATATTTGGTCGAAGCCTTCCCCTGAGGACGCCCACGGCTATTTAGAGGGCGTTCTCCTTGAAGGGACAACGGCATCTAAACGCGCACAAATTCAACAGCTGCTCGCAGCCCATGAACTTGGAGATAGCCACCCGTCTCGATTCTTTACCAGATGCTACAGTTGCTGGGTCCTCAAACCTGCAGCTCATAACGTAACCGTAAGGAAGCTGTTTTTGTTTACTTATTTTCATTAAACGCATGTGTATGGTTCTGGCAGCTGCAGACAACACGACGCTATACCGCCGTACCAGCGCACCGCACCGCCGTGAACGCTTCGCCGTGCATCCCGGCTGCACGGGACACACCCCTGGGGAGGAGCCAAATCGAGGCTCGTGTAGAGTAGCTTTTTCTCATTTTTGCCGCCGTTAGCTTGTTGTTGAATAAGAAAAAAAAAAAAAAAGCCTTCCCGACAAGGCAGAGTTTGGCTCGGGCCCACTCGACCATCCTTCGCAACGCGCCTCACCAACAGTCTACACATCGCTGTGCACACACCGCACATACCTTCTTGACACTCAAATGTCCCGAAGAAGGATCCAAACGACTGGGCGTCATGCGGAATTTATCATGTGTCGGACGCGTGAACGCTCACTGCCTTATGGGAACCCCTCGCTGCACATTAGCGAATTTCCTGCAGTGCCTTGTCTGGCTTCCACCAACATTTACAGAAAGGTAGGCCTAATCAAAATATATTACCAGACTCCCGTAATATAGGCGGATGAACCGAAGACTGCCGTGATATCACAATTCCGTTCGCACTTTTCGAGGACGTGGACATACCGCGAAGTATAGGCATTAGCTGACAATGTTTCTCAACAATTACCGGGTTATGCCATCCCTCAAATCACACGTATGTTTGACGCAACTTTGGAAGAACACAAGACACAGCGAATTTCGCATGTGATTTGCAAGTACAGCACCATATTTGATCTCGCAAATCATTGGCCAGGCAACTGCGGTCACCCACAGAATGGACGCCTGTACAGAGACACCAGTCCACCACCGTCCCTACCGGGGTGCCACCAAGCGAACGCCCCTAAATTCAACAAAAAGTTGACAAGAAGCTGTCGAGAAATATTTCTCAACCATCATCGAGTTCCGGGTCCGCTCCCGTTATTTTTGTAAATGAAGGGCGGGTCTTGGCGCTTTTGTGTGGAGTGTCGCTGTTTAAACAAGATCACAAAGAACCACGTGTATCCTCTGCCACGGATACACGACACGTTCGGTTGCCTCCACGGACCTGATTATATGTTTTTTGCATTGACCTTCGCGTTAGCTGCTTTGCACATCGATATGAACGAAGCCAATCGTGGTAAAACTACCGTCGTCATACTTGACGGCTTCTTTGAATTCAAAATTATGCCGTTTGGGCTTTGCAATGCGGCCGCCACGCGCGAAAGGACGATGGACCGCCTCGTGAAGGATCTAAAGTAGGTTACTGGCTTGGGTTATCTGGACAATTAAATCATTTTCTCGAACCCATTTTTTAAACAACTCGAACGTGTGACTCAAGTCTTCGAAGATTTCTGACAACCGAGGTTACAACTAAATTGCTCAAAATAGCGGTTCGGCTGTTGAGAAAGTAAAGTTATCGGACGCATTGTCAACAAACGTGGTGTTCTATAAGACTCATACAAAATTAAGGCGGTCGAATATTTTTTTA